AATCTATTTCTTGGAAAAGTTTAAAAAACTCAAAACTTGTGTTTTTGTACATGAAAATACATTTCCCTATATTTAGGAAACGAACCAAACAGCCCCTAAATGTCCAATAATTCTATGTTATTCCCTCAAAATTTTAAAATTTCTCATAATTTTAGGGACTAATATTAAATTATTAAAGTTTTGACAGAAAAAGTATAAATAAGTCATATTTAAAAGAAGAGTTAATTTAAAAAAAACCTCTCAACTATAGGGATTGTCTTAAAACTCACTCAACTAATTCAATTTGACAAAACCCCTTATTCTGGGGGATGTTATAAATAACCCCTCTCAAATTCAGTGCAATTTTAGAAAACACCTCTCAACTATAGCGTGTCTCATAATAACTCCCCTAATCTTTTACACTTCTATCAACAAACCCCCTTAACATAGTTACTTTAATATGTGATTAGGACAAAATACTATATTGAAGAAAACAATTTAATAAAAAAAAGATCCTAAACTGATAATAAAAGGACCATAACTAATTTATAATTATTTTCCCTCTATATCACCTCTTTTTCTTTCATCTGGCAAAAACCAAGGTAATTCTTTTATGGTTGATGGATATTTTGGTCTTTTCAAGTCAAGTACTTGTCACATAATAGATAAGATATAATGATATTAATTTTGAGAGGTTAAGTTTAATTGAGACAAGTCCACAGGGATTAAATCAAAAAAATTTAAGCTGAGATAGATTATCTACAAAATACCCTAAACTTGACAGAGATTTACTCAGTTTTAAATAGTTGGGGGGGGGTGGGGTGGGGTGGATTGACATGCCTCCAATAGTTGAGAGGGAGTTTTCTAAAATTAAACCTTAAACAAAAGCACAACTTAAGGCACATGTGACATCAATTTTATACGAATGGAGTTTATAGCAAGTCTATCACTCAATGCACTGGTTTGGGTTATTTGTCCTTCAATTTATCCTAAACATCAACTCTAAAAAAAATTGCTATAAGAATCTCTAAGAGAAATTTAATATTTATTTGGGAGGACAAATTTTCAAAACAATCCCTTTTGCAATTTTATTCCCAAAAAACAATCCATTTCTCTCTTATTTGGGATGGATATGTGATCCTTCTGATTCCTCTTGTCTTTCATGATTTGTAATAAATTAGTTGATAAAATAAATTAAGTCGTCATTTTATATTACTCGCCTTCTTATAAGTTTATGAAGCTCATAGCTTGGATATGAATATTGTTGTAGATATTGTATTCTTCTCACTCCTTAAGCTAAACCTTTGGATGTTGTTTTATATTGGATGGATATGAATTATTTTGTTAAAATACAATCAATGAATGCATAATATGTATAAATTATTCTCAAAATATATTTTATAATTTTCTAAAACTAGAAAGTAATCATTTTGAAAAATCAATTAGTAATTGGCAAGAATTTATTTTTTCCACTAATAATTATAGTTTTTTTAGTATTGGTCCCTTACGTCATTAATATTTGGAAATTATACATTCAAATTACTAATCAATCTTAAATTATTAATATTTTAAGATCTTAAGCGTAACTATTTCTCTGGAAGATAAAATACTAAAGCCACACATGGAAATATCTAAAAAAGTTAATAATTTAATATATTATGATAATTATAAAGTTTTTTTTGCAACCATGTTGTAGTAAATAAATAAACTTAAAGTAAATAACTAAATTAGCTGACCACGTGCAATGCACGTGCATTCCACCTAGTAAAGATAAATGGCTGATTAAGAAGTCCACATCCAAAAAATTAAGATTTCTTTTCAATATTTTAATAATTAATATATATTAGTTAAAAATATTTTTCTACATGTATTAGTTAGCATATATTAGTTAATAAGTTTTCTGTATATATAAAGATAAAGATTTAATAAGATATTATTATTATTTATTCAAGTTTTTCAAAATGTAAAAAAATAATATAAACAATCATATCATATATTTTCAACTTTTATGAAATATATTTTAATTTATGTTTCTTAATGTGATAGATATTATAAATATAGATACATCTTTAACATTAGGCAATATATTTATAAATATTTTGAATAATTGGAAATAAACATATCTTGAACTAGGTTGTTAGAAGTATATTTCATTTAATAGCAAATTTTGAATATTATTTTATTTGAAGGATAAAATTTAATATCTTTGAAAGAATAAATTTAAAATTAAAAAATAAAATATGTATCAGTAATATGCAACATAAACAAATGTGGTTTGTATTATAATATGCTAATCATACCAACAAAAAATATTCACATGTGGCTAAATATGCATTGAATGAGTAAAGAAATAAAACTAAAAATAAATCTTTTTGAACTCCCAGATGAATATAGACGAAGTCCGATTGCTTTAACTTGCCATCTCGCTATCGCATAAAGAGTATAATATCAAATCTCATAAATAACTATAACTAAAAAATAAAAATATAATATTTAAGGTTATCTCCTAGTGATATAAGAACAAAATTTGAACGATTTTTGTTTCAGATTACCCCAAGAAGACATAGGATAGGAATATATATATATATATAATATATATATAAGAAATATGGTATATATATATAATATAAAGAATATATAAGAATATATATATAATATATATATATATATATATATTAATTATATATATAATATATATATATATCTATATAATATATATATTATATAGATACTGGATGCTTGGTACCAACATAAACAAGTTGTTGTTTGGTAGTGAGCGTGTCAACAATCCTCTACCCATTCAAATTGGGACATAAAATTCCACATGGGTTAGGGTGGAATGGGAATGTGACACATCACTACCAGCACTTGTGCTTGTAGCACATACGCCATATATATATAGTATATTATATGATTAATATATTATATATATATATATATAATAATATATTATAGTATATGTCATATCTAGAGAGAGAGAGAGAGAGAGGGAAGAGAGAGAAGAGAGAGAGAGAGAGAATAGGGCGTTTGTTTGCTTCTTTTGCATGGATCCTGCAAAACTGACAGCTTGCGTGTCAAGTTTTTGGCACTTTCTCAAAACCCCTATAGGAGAGGTCTCAAACAGAACTAAGCGTGGCTCCATTAACTAAGCAAGATTGATTAATATAACTGATAGAGCAGACACAATCATAAACAATAATTGGCCTAAAATCCTTAGAAAATCTTCTTGCACAGAAATTATGTAACTAAAAATTAAAATTGACCAAACTTATCATTTCCATTTGGTTTTTACAATTTCAAATAATCTATAAGATCGGCCTCAATTTATTCAAATTACACCTTAGTAAGCGAATCTATTTGGTTTTAGTAATTCAGCACTATAGAAAAAATGAAGCCATTGCGAAGCGGGGAAATCCGTCGCCATATGCATGCAAAATCCGTCACGAAATAACTTTCTGGGACGGCGGAGTCCGTCACCTAATAATCCTGTCGCAATAACATTTGCGATCGTGGATCCGTCGCCAATTTCATCTGCGACGGCTAGTATTGGCGACGGAAACATTGGGACGAAACAGCTCGTGCCAAGTACATTGGCGACTGGAATAATCCAGTCGCCATTGTATCATTGCGACTGAGTATGTAACCGCGTCGCCCAATTGTACATTTGGCGACAGGGAATTACATCAGTCGCCAGATGGTACATTTGGCAACGGATGTATTGCGCGGTCGCCATTTACATTCGCGGACGGGAATACTCTGTCACCAATGTATCATTGGCGACGGGCTCATACCCCGTCGCCAATAGTACATTTGCGACGAGGGAATACATCGCGCCATGTAATTGGCGTAAACAGGCATACCCATCGCCAATGTTTTCTGTCGCCAACTGAACCTATCCGTCGGGTCAATGATCATTGGCGACGGATTTCCCCGTCGCAATGTTTATGCGCAGGATTATCGGTGAGGACTCCCACGCCGTCGGCGAAAAGTGTATTGGTGACGGATTTTGTCCCTTGTCGCCAATCGTACCTCTGACGACGGGATTTGTCCCCTGTTGCCCAATGTACTTGGCGACGAATAAATGCATGTGCCAGAATGTACACTTGGCGACAGGTGTATTCCCGTCGCCAATAATACATTGGCGATGAAAAATGCCCCGTCGCCAATGTACTAACAGCGTAAAAAAAATTATTTCTGGCATTTGCAACCCCCATCGGAATAACGTACATGTGACTACATTATCATACAATATAAGGTTAAACAATACTCACAATATCACCATTTTAGTCGACTTCGCATCAACACATATTCAGATCAGCACGATTCACACTTCACATATTCACACCTTCACATCCAACAATCTAAACATTTACATTCATCGATTCAGCATCCAACAATTAACATTTAACAATTCACATATATACATAACAGGAGTGTCATAATATTGTTCAACACAATCCAAAGTCTACATAATCCGGAGGTCATAATATGTTTACACCAATCCACCGTCCAAACTTACGCAAAAAGTCTAACACATCACTCACTCATCGATAGTCGTGGTCCCTATCGTCGTGATCCCTATCAACCTCGGTGGCGGCCTGGCATCCGATGCCGTACCGTAACTGCTGCTTCTACGACGGTAACCTCTCTAGCTAAAGAATGTAAATCAATATGAGAAATATATTCCAAAATACTCATAATAAATACAATATACTAATATGACATATAATACCTCTCCACCACTTCAGCTGCATGCTATCATAATGCCAACACATAATATCCGCGTATATAGAACTGCGAAAGGCAAGTTCCTTACGGGTGAGAACGATGCGTCGCTGAACGACATCCCCAAGTCGTTGTGCACCACTTAAGCTCGTGCTTAAATATGGGAGAAAAACTTACAAGCCAAATGAATTTCAACATCTTCATGCCAAGTATTTTCCGCAATCTTAACCCACGACATATGAACGTGTCACCGTGTCGGCGTTCGAAATGTCACAGATTGGCATGCTAGGGGCTTATTGGTGGTGGTGAGTGTCTTAACTCTAGTACTTGACAGAGGCACTCTTCCTTTCTTTCTTGAGTGTAAACCGTAAGCTCCGTCGACAACTTCCATTCACTCGTCTCTGGTCATGCGGTTAGGCTCTACAGGAGTGTCCTCTGTACTTCGAGACTGCGTGACACGGGTGAAGACATCGTTTTGAGAAGCTTCCAGCGCCGCCTGCATATCATATATCATAAAAATTAGAAACTTTGATGAAAAATCATTAAGTATATACAAATCTAAAATTAATCTTATACTTACGTTCAATTCATTAATTTTCTCCACCTTTTTGTCATTTCCCTCTACATTTTCATAGCCCTGGGGTGGTGTATAAGCTCTTTTAGCCAGAAGAGTCGGGGGCATAGTCAAAGCGTCCTGTGATATATTAAATTCCAAATTAAATGTAGGAAACTAATCACATGAAATCAGTTTTAATAATATGATCATACCGGGTTTTCGCTCAAATACTTATGCTCGATCTGAGCATAAGAAGTAGCTCCTAAAAAGTGATCGTATAGCTTTGATCTACGATTCGCCGATGCCGTTTCATATATTTTCTACAAAATAAAGTATTTTTTTAGTATGTGCGATGATAATATATAAATGAAAAATAACGTGATGATAATGTCATAAATTAAAAATAATCTACCTTCTTCTCACCCTCCCACTCGATAATGAGAGTCATCCAATTAAATGGAGGAACTCTCTTATCAAGCTCATAGATCCTCTTCCAATCAGTAGATAAATTTGTGAAATATCTTTTCTTTAGATCACTCTTCCAACCCCGAATAAGCTTGGCCATTTTCGGGATAACATAATCCCAAGACTCTGGGTTGTCTTCAAGACAATAATGATCCTGCAAGTTACATGGCAAAAAAATTACACTATAAGAATAATCATTGTGAATTGTAAACAAAATAAGCAGCAGTATATTAAATAATTACCATGAGCTTCTCCCAAATCTTTTTTATGCATTTAAATTCTTGCTCCTCAAAATTATGAGCAATATAAATGGAGCGTGGATCTCTTATTAAACAGCCAATCAAGTTATTAAATCTGACAGCCCAATCCTCAACAGGAATGTTGTCCTTCCACTCCAAAATGCCCCGGTACCCTTTCGGAGGTACTTTCGTCTTTTCCTCACTCCCATGCCTACCGGGTTTCTCATAATCTTTTTGGCCTACAAAGTCAAAGAGAAATAAATTTCTTATACACTTAAGTAAGCAAATAAGTATGAATTATCCAAAGTTTAAACGAAATTATTACATTTTTCCCTCATTAGATCTGACATAGCTTTATCTAGTCTCTGTTTTATGGCACGCTCCTTTCTTTTAATATCATCTCTCTTCAATTTGTAGTTCATATCACATTTTTTTTTGTAATTCAATAGCTTTTTCTGGTAGAGGGATGCGAGATACTGACGGAGTCCATGGGCGGAGACATGTCATCTCTGATTGAGAAGATACAGACATCCTCTCGTGCTCGATCTCATCATCACCAGATCCATCGCAAGCATTGTCTGCAAATATTTATTAGGAATATAAAATATCATTACATTACATTAAAATATATTACAAATGTATAATACCTATACTTGGTAATGCGTCTTGATGTTGCGGTGTACCCATTTGAGATGTCCCCGCAATATCTAACAAATTATAAAATAAGAAATGAGCATATAAATTTATCAATTAAGGTAATTACATGCACAGAAAGTTCAAACTGAATAAAGCAAGCAAAATTAGTCCCTCAAATCTTCTGTCTTTTGACGGAATCAATTAGTCCTATTGGATCCTTATAATTTATTTGATAATCTCTATTTTAGTTGCGGATAAAAAAAAGGTTAGTTATTTTCTAACGTTTTATGGTAGCAGATTTCGTGACCTATAAAATATGTTCTTATGACATGATTAAATTTCCTACAAATTTTTCTTCTTGTATATTAAATCAGTTGCTTCATGATTATTCATATGTCTAATTCTTGACTTTGTCATCTCTATATATTGTAAATTAGTTTCCTGAATCCAAAACACGATAAGCCAAGGAATGAAGTATGGGAATCGGATGGAAGAGTTGATCCCACACCAACTGCTTCTGGTGGTAATCTTGCTTCCTTGTATCGCCGTCCAAATTCCCTGACCATTCAAGGCTCTTTTACGCAGGTAATTTTTTTTAAAGTTTCCAAACTTTGAATTTTGATCAGCGAACTTTTTCTGAATTAAGTCATTGAAAGATACATTGTCTACATGAATTGCAGGTGAAAATGCAGTCTTTAGTTGAGAACAGGTGGCTGATAGTTAATCTGCAGTCGAATGTATAATACCTATACCTGGTAATGTGTCTTGATGTTGCGGTGTACACATTTGAGATGTCCCCGCAATATCTAACAAATTATAAAATAAGAAATGAGCATATAAATTTATCAATTAAGGTAATTACATGCACAGAAAGTTCAAACTGAATAAAGCAAGCAAATTTTATACCTTCAATTGGTGAGGATCCATGTAGAGATAACTGACTCCGAGATGGTCGTGAGGACGATCCTAGATAAAAACATAGTAAATATAATGCATATTTATATCAAATATACAACTTACTTAAAACAAAATTTGAATATGCATACCGGATGATGGACCTTCTCGATCCCGAGGAAAAGATAGCCTCCTAACTCTTTGGCTCATCTGCAACTTAAATTGTTAATCTAACATAATTGAAATATTTAATAAATGCATACAAGATATCAAGTCGAATTTGCATAAGGATCTTTGTATTCAATCTCCTACATTACAGATATCAAGTCGAATTTGCATAAGGATCTTTGTATTCAATCTCCTACATTACAGATATCAAGTCGAATTTGCATAAGGATCTTTGTATTCAATCTCCTACATTACAGATATCAAGTCGAATTTGCATAAGGATCTTTGTATTCAATCTCCTACATTACAGATATCAAGTCGAATTTGCATAAGGATCTTTGTATTCAATCTCCTACATTACAGATATCAAGTCGAATTTGTGAAGTATACATATTAAAATTGACATTCTGAGGGTATGAGTAATTAAGAAAAATTTCTCCTTCGGCCTCATTTGGGTCATCAGTATCATCCGAGTTTTCATCAAGAGCAAGCTGAACAAGAGTCCTCGGCTCCTTATACAATACGACCCAGACATTCGGGTGCTTAGGATCTTTGACGTAAAAGCACTGAGTAGCCTGATTTGCAAACATAAACTTCATATCGGGATATATCTCCTTATCTAGATTTACAAGATGAAAACCATATGCATCCCTAGTACTGTCTGCATGACACCAACGAACCTTAAACATCACATAACTACGTACATTTTTGGTACCGTACGCATAAAATATCTCCACAATATCTTCTAATTGTCCGTAATAAATTACATCACCAAGAACCGGATTTTGATCAGTTGAGCTTGAATAACATTCTTGAGAAAATGCAGCCATGACCCCACTATTTTGAGTAACTCTCTCCTCCTCAAGCCCAACCCGTTGAAATAAACACCCATTTACACGATATCCGCTGCATTGTTTAACTGTGTAGTGCGGTCCATGTGAGTGAATACTTATCTCTTCTGACACTGGCAAACCAGCACATTTTTGTCTTTCTACCTAATGTTGCACATAAACACAAATTAGCGTTATTCCCAAAAAGAATGTAAAATAAAATACAGTTTAACTTACTTCAGCTATGACCCACTCGGTAAAATGTTTTTCATGAATTTTAGCAATTTGATTTCGTGCGGACGCACCAGTAATTTCTAAATGTAACTCCTCCAAATGTTGTCTGTTGATACAAAAAATTAGAGTTCAATTATTGATATAATTAAAAAAAATCATATTTGTTAAAGTTAATTTCTTACTTGCGATAATCTTCAAAGATTTCCAGGTTCTGCAATAAGAAGGCATGAGCCTGATTCAAGTCAATTCTGGAATAGTCTTTGTTCATCTTGGTACTTCCATGAAAGGTGCCATCTCTATTACTATTTATCTCCTTATTTTTTGTATGTACACCATGTATATATCGAGAGGTGAACATCATACATTCATTTGTCACGTAATGATCAGCAATCGATCCTTCAGGATGAGCCCGATTTCGCATTATGCGTTTCAAGAAACCCAAATATCTAAAGATAATATTAATATGAGTTGTTAATATAAAGCAGTTACATGTATTGTAAATAGACTTAATTGAATTTTGACTAACCTCTCCATGGGATACATCCAACGATAGTTAACTGGTCCTCCGAGTAATGCCTCATCTACAAGATGATGTGTGAGATGGACCATGATCGTAAAAAATGATGGAGGGAAGAATATCTCCATTTTGCAGAGGGTTTCATTCATTTCTCCTTTTAGTGCCTTAAATTCATCAATATTGATAACTTTTGAGCATAACTTTTTAAAAAATCCACAGAATTCGATTATAACTTTTGCTACTTCTTCATCGGCCATGTTGTTACGAAGTGCTACCGGAAGCAATTGGTGAAGAAGGATATGATAATCATGAGTCTTAAGTCCTAAAAGTTTTCGCTCTTTCACTTGGATATTATTTGAAATATTAGAGCAGTAACCATCTGGTGACTTCACTGACTTAAGCACCTCACAGAATCTCTGCATCTCAACTTTTGACATTGTAATACGAGCTGAAGGCAACTCAAATTTGCCATTGGTGACTTCTTGTGCTTGCAGATCATGTCAGATGTTCAACGCATTCAAGTCTTGTCGAGCCCTTAAATCGTCCTTTGATTTCTTACCATCTTGAAGGAGTGTGGATAATAAGTTATCACATATATTCTTTTCAATATGCATTACATCTAAATTGTGTCGGAGTTTGAGCTTGTGCCAGTAAGGCAACTGAAAGAATATACTAAATTTTGTCCATCCTGTCGGCAAAGTGGATAATAAGTTATCACATATATTCTTTTCAATATGCATTACATCTAAATTATGTCGGAGTTTGAGTTTATGCCAGTAAGGCAACTGAAAGAATATACTAAATTTTGTCCATCCTGTCGGCAAAGTCTCAGCATGTGTGACATCCAAACTCCGCACTTGCCTCTTTCGTTTAGGTTCCCTCTTCATGAT